ACAACATATACAACGTAAATTTTTGTTGAATGAAGCTCGAATCCTGCAACTAAGATCCAATTCAAGCATCTTCTGAACTTTCCATATCAACTGAAGTGAGTCGCATTTTGTCCGCGTTTTTGTTGAGTTTAAAATCGAGTTAAATTTACAATAAGATGATTGAGTTGTGTCGATCCAAACGATAGAAAAAATGCTATAAAAAGTTTAAGAATGAAACTATTTGTAGGCTTGGCAAAAAGGTACATCAGTGCTATAATAAGACAAAGAGGGCTACAAGAGAATCAAGTTGTGCAATTTTACTAGATATTCCTCTAACTTCTGAATCAACTTACTGAATTATAGACTATATCACGAGATCGTTGAGTTGTATTTTGCTTTTATTTAACAATACACAGTCAATTATAATGGTGTTACACAGGTATTCTACAAAATTTCGCAGTTGGTTGAGCTGATATAAATATTCTTACAGAGTTTATTACTTTGCTCAATTTACAATCACTCTTCTAGCTTTCTTATACTTTTGATTTAATTATAGTGTTCTATTTCTATTGAGTATTTTTTTTTCTAGAAATCTATATACATGATTTATAGAAGTTATCTAAAATTACTACATACTTTATCAACTGTCTTAAACTATGATGTCTTCGACTAAGCATCTAATTCGATCGTAGTTTCGACAGATGTACAGCTCATAATTCAGGCTTAATATAATCGATCAATTTCTTTCATCTCTTCGATAATCAGATATCATTCGATTTATGAATATCATAGGAAACACTTAATGAGAGTAATAGCACACTTGATGTATCCTATCATACACACTCTGAGCTGTATCTATGTGGTCTATCATTAATTTGATCTTCACTTTCATAAACCCTTGAAGTCATTTATGTGGTTNTTTTAATTTTTATCACTGAATTTTTAACTGAGCCGCCGCCGTCACATAAGGACTTGCAAATATCAGCCGACGCCGCCGCTGTGAAAAAAATTTTAAGAATTTGTAGCAGCCGCCGCTGAAGGCATTACTCGTTCAAATAACAAGCCGCTGGGAATCTTCAAAAATTGAAAATTGTTGCCCGCCGCCGCTGTTCAACCCTTCGGCTGACACCTCTATTCATACCCACTTGCCCACCCACCCCACACCAAGGGAGAAAGTGCAGATTTAGAACCCTCAGCGCCAGAGCAATTTTTTCATTACCTATTTTTTGTCTGAATTATACGGCAACTATCAAGCGGAAAAAACATATTTCCGTATTTCTATGTATTTCTACTGTATATCTACGATTTCTACGTATTTCAGAAATAGAAAAGTACATAAATACATAGAAATACAAGTAACGTTCATCGACATCGAAGACCGATCCACTGGGATCTAGACTGACAGCGCTGAGGAGAACAAATGCATAAAAAGGACAGAAAATCGTTTGTTTATGCCAACAGCTAGTGATGATATTTTCAAACAGACCTGTAAATGCAGTGGAAATAAGTAAAGCTGGGGTAAGAATCAGACGAAAATTAAAGGTTTCAAGTAAAAGCACTAAAACCGAAGACGAAAGAGGGACAGAATGGGACTCATAGGTCTTTAGGGAAGGGAGAGGTTGAGCCTTACCTAGCCACAAAAATATATGATTCAGAAATTTCGTGATGGTTTGCTCAAAGTTCCGTAGAGAGATCAGGTCGCCCTCTCGGCTGACCCATATCCAGAGCGGACTGTTTCACGTGACCATGCCATGCATCCCCCATGGTTTGTACCGTAATAATGCACTGTGCTTCATAGCAATGGTCATTTGTACCATGAGAATTAGCCATTTTTACCACGGAAATTGTCTCTTGGGCCACAAAATTGGTCGCTTGTGCTATAGAAATAATTGTTTGTGTCATTGCTACAGACAGACAGACAGACATAGGTGAATTACGGTTTCTAGACCCTATCCTTTCAGTCTATGGAACAGCAATACATGACAATACGGAAATACAGAAACACGGCTCCCCCATCTAATTCGTTGGAAGCGCTAATTTGAGCCCCATTTTCTGGAAAAACTATTGGTCTACCATGATCCAATGGAAATCGAGTTTTCTGCAAAATGGCTTCCTATGGGTAATTTGAGTCGAAGAGCTCAAATTTGAGCGCTATTTTTCTGAAAGCCTTATTGGTCGGCCACAAACTGATGAAACTCGAGTTTTGGAAAACGGTTTTCCATAGATAATTCGTGCTGGCGTGGCCGAATTTGAGCCCCATTATGCTCGATACACACTTGGTCGGCTAAAAACTAATAGAAATCATGTTTTCGGGAAAATGTCTGCTCATAGGTAACTTGTAGTGCGGTGTTCGAATTTGAACACCATTTTTCTGGAAATTCTATTGGCCAGCTGGGAGCCAAAAGAAATCGAGCTACCGGGAAAATCGTTTTCTATGGATATTTCGAGGTGGGGAGTTCAAACCTGAGCACCAGTCGCCTCGAAACGGAATTCGACGGCTAGAAACCAATAGTAATCTGGATTTTTGAAGAATGAATTTCAGATTCGACCCCCTCCCCTCATCTTGGGTTACCTCTTGAAAACTATGTTCCCGGGAACTCAATTTCTATTGGTTCCTGGTCAATCAATAGGCTTTCTAGAAAAATAGTACTCAAATTCGAACACCGCACTACAGATTACCTGTAGGCAACTATTTTTCAGAAAAGTGGATTCCTATCGGGTCCCGACCGACAAATTGGGTTTCGACAAAAATTGGACTCAAGTTCGAGCTGGCCACCACGAATTACCCCTTGAAAAAATTTTTCTGGGAACTCGAATTCTACTGGTTCTTGATCCATCAATAGGATTTCAAGGCAAGTGGACTTGCGATTCGCAGCCCCTGACTCGGATCTGCATTCGTCAACCATTATAATATATTGATATTATCTCAACAACGCTTTCTTCATCGGCACTTCATAAACATTTAGCTCAGCTTGGTTCTATTAAGGAGAGAGTAACCGTAACATGATATGGTAGTGAACCATCGCCACCGTTGCATCCCTAGTTTTCTCTTCTGTCGCGTGACAACGGCAGATCTCTAACTACTTCCGCTCTCCAGTTATTCACAAAACAGTTACGCTAATTAGGTTTTGAAAACGACGATAGATTCAAGGCGACAGAAATCTAGAAATATGTACTTGAAAGAAAAATTTTGTTGCTTTTTTAGACAATTTCTTTTACATGAAGACGTTCAAACATACCAATTAATCATAGAAAACGAAATGTTGCAAATTGAGCCTACACTGAAAAAAAATAAGTACTCTACGAAACTTAAAAAGCTTCCGAGATTTGCAACGAATTCGGAACCCTTTTGCGATGTCGTACGGAACCTTCAAAGTTCCGTATAGTCTCACGAAACCTGTGTCGGAGTCTCCGATATCTTTAAGGGTTTTGTGAGACTTTACGAAACCCTTGAAGAACCTCGAAGGTTCTGCATGATAAAGAAAAATAGTTTCGAATTCGTTGCAAATCTCGGAACCCTGTTAAGTTTCGTAGAGTGCTTATTTTTTTTTCAGTGTAAGTAAAAGTTCTGTATTTATATGCATTTCTATGTATTTCAGAAATACAGAAATACATAGAAATACCATTTCCCCCTTGTATTAATGCCATGCGAAATTGAATATTTATCTTAAATAAATGTGTTAGTCAGCTGAAGATGAATCTGTCACTGAAAAGCACATAATTTGTAGATATTCTTTCAATTTGTTTGAACTACCGATGCGTTCTAATCTTTAAAGAGATAGGGTTGTCAAGCAAGATATTTTTATGAAGATTTTCATTTAGTCTTTTTAGTCAAATGCTTCTCTTCATACTATAAAAAGGCCGTGGCAATGAGTTTCTTGTTTGAGCGAAGTTGAGCTCCAAAGTAGATTGATTGAAACGGATAAATATAAATATCTGATTGGATGCAAAAAGCGTTCATTAAGATTGAATGTAGCAGTGAGAATAATAGAGAGCACTGATGGTTCATCACAATAACAGTAGTTAAGCATATAATATTTTTAAAACTATGTTAACACATCAGTATCTGTCTGGTACTTTCTCGGTACTTCAGCACCTTCTCAGTACCAGACAATGATTTCGGTATTTGGTACCTGCACTTTCCCCCTTGCCCCACACCCACACCCTTTACATGTAGTAACAGGTAGTCCATATAATTGATTACATGCGAACGACGATGTGTTGACAAGAAAAATATATGTGTATAGTTTATGGTGTGTAATCTACTACTATCTACTGTTATTAGGTGAAATAAAGATGTAGGCATTCTAATTCGAGGACTGTCGAAGATTCTTTAAATCTACAGTTTACAAAAAAAAACTCCGTAAGAGGGAAGAAGGACATTACTAATTGAGGAAATCGACACCAAATTTATACAATGTGAATCAAAAGAAGTAGTTCTCAAAACTAGCGGACCCTTCTTGAACTTTCATTATCCCCAGCGTCACCTTTCTATATACAGAAGGACTTTTCTTCCTCAGAATTGGTTTATTTGTAGTATATGAGTGAATTGTAAATTTTTGGTATCGTTAATGTTTCGGGTGTCAGTGTGGATGTGTCTATGGTTGTGCTATATGAAAAACACTCCCATACCCATACTGTAAAATATTGGCGTACAATAATAAGCCCTACAAGGGTATATAAAAAGGTTTATGAAATTCATAAACTCTTTTGAAGGGTTTATTACTCTACACCTACTTTTTACAGTGCACACATTCACACCCACACCCACATCCACCCTCTAGTTCTTCAAAAAATCTTTGTCCAAAGCCAAAACTTTCGTGAGAAGCCCATAACTTGACAAGAAAAGATCCAATGACCAGGATATATTGAAGTTTTTCCTTGTGCACTAGGTTCTATTGAACACCAATAGTCTTTGTGGGAAAAGACTTTCGATCAAAATAAGTTCTCTGAATCCTAACAAGTAACAGGATCCAATTAGCTGATCTTCGGATCATTTTACCTTGGCTTTCCTGGTGGCCATGGACACTGATATTCACTATGGCTGCGATTCGTTCACACAGAGTGAAAATCTTGAAACATTTGGTCTTATCTGGCTCGATGCGAATCCTAACAACATGGAAAAAAGTCGAAATACGGAGCGGCAAATGCGGGATATCATCAATCATTTCAGAAAATTTGAAGATCTAGACAAATGTAAAGAATACATTGAGCAAGCTTCAAAAGAAGATCGACTTGTGCTGATCGTTAGCGATGAGCTGGGTCGAGAATTAGTACCTCGTATTCATCGATTACAACAGGTTTCTTCAATCTATGTCTACGGTATGAACAGCACCGTCAACGGACGATGGACTTCTCAGTTTACGAAGGTAGGAGTATCTGAATGATTTCGCTTTAGCATAAGTATTCTATAGATCAAAGTCAGCACGGTTCAACTCGACAAACTCCTTGTTCAAATCAAATCAGATCAGCGGTTACGAGCGAGAGTACAAGAACCTTTCTCGGCTCACATTTTCAATACGGGTTGTGTCTCAGATAAATCGACAACAGAAATTAATGGTCAGTTCGTATTTTTTCAACTACTTGTCGACTGTCTGATTCAACTGCACATTAGAACAATGGACTTTAATGAATTAATTTCTCTATGTAAGAAAATATACATAACTAACCAAGCCCAGCTCTCTATTCTACACCAATTTCAGCTCGATTATTCTTCTAGCAAAGCCCTGTACTGGTATACTCGTGAATCGTTTATTTGTAGTATGCTGAACAAGGCGTTACGTACAGAAAACATTGATTTACTCTTTCTCTTCCATTCACTCATTTCCGATATTCATCACCAACTGCAATTCTACCAGGCAAACTCTCCAGTGCGCGTGTATAGATGTCAATTGATGTCAAACAAGGAATTGAGTACTCTCAACGAATGTATAGGCCAGTTGATATCCATAAAATCATTTTTTTCTACTAGTACCAAGCGTGAAGTGGCTGATATTTACTTGTATCGTGGAGACTCTATAGATAATTTGGAGCTAGTTCTGTTCGAGATCGATGCTGCTCCCCATGTAGGCTCTACAAAACCATTTGCTTATATCAGTCCTTATAGCAATTTCCCTGATGAATCGGAAGTACTTTTCACTCTTGGTTCCGTTTTCCGTCTTATCAGTATTAGTGCAGGTGATGATAAATTGTGGACCATTCGAATGGAACTATGTACAGATGATGAACACAGTATGAAATATGTCCTTAGCGAAATGAGAAATAAGTACAGAACTGGAGAGACGAGTCTTCATGTCTTTGCCAAGCTTTTGGCAGAGATGGGAAAATTTGATTTGGCTGAAAAGTACTATCGTCGGTTGCATAATGAAATCCCATCTGATGATCCCTCGCAAAAAGACGTATGCAACGAGCTCGCTACAGTTTTCTCCCAAAAAGGAGAGCTCAATATGAGTATGGAATGGCGTGTAAAAGCATCCAAAATCCCTGAGTACAGGAATCTGAGACTCGAAAAAAAAATTTTCAAACGTGACCAGCATTCACCTGTTTTTTTACGCAAATGCAGATTATGTGATCGAGATATGAAGATTGTGGCTCAACAGGCAATCGTCGTTAAAAAATGCACTTTGCTAGACTTAGCCGATAATAATATTACTCCAGAAGGTCTTCTGATTCTGGCAAATGCATTGCACCATAATAGAAAATTAGAAAAGCTAGATCTTTCCTGCAATACAATATCTGATATAGGTGTTTCCATTATCGCACACTCGATCAAGAATTCAACTGTAACGATACTCGTCCTTGATTGCAATCGTATCACAGATGAGGGTGCAAGATATTTGGCAGAAATGCTCAGAACAAATAAAATATTAGTTTACTTGGGGCTCAGTAGCAATTGTATAGGCGAGCAAGGTGTGAATTATTTAGCTGACGCACTCACTACGTGTAACACAACTCTCAAAGAGCTGTCTCTTCAATCGAACAAATTTCTCAGGGACTCAAGTATTGATTCTCTCTTTGCAATACTCAAATACAACAACGCGTTGGACACACTTGACATCAGTGGTTGCAATATGTCCACTGTTGGTATAGCAAGACTTCAGGACGAAGCAAAACAAAAGTCAAGTTTTCATTTCGTAACAACTACAACGGAGGCATTTCATCACTCACATCCGGCATCATCATGGGTTAAGGTATTTCTGTCGAGAATAAAGTAACTCATGGGCGCCAACAATGCCAGAAGGCAGAAGAATGATGATGATATGATCAAAGGACAGGGGGCGGTTTGTATGCAAAATGGCCATAAATAAAAATCACTCCAAAACGTGCTTTAAATTTGAACTTAATATTGCTGTGACGATTTCTGATACAGCAGACGCTGTTTGAGAGATATCTTATGTATAATTTATTGGTGGGGTGTGGGGTGTGGGGATGGATGCTAGAGTTGTTCTAACACAGGCCCACACCCATCCACCATTCAATGAAACAGAACAAATTATCTTACTGAATTTATATTTGTAGTACACTTCTTTATTAATACAATAAACATCACAATTTAAGAGTGAGAAAATGTTTTTTTATTTAATTTATAACCAAATAGTTAGTTGACCAACACCATTGTGTTCCCAAATACATAATGAAAAAGTTGATTTGTCACGTGTAAGACAAAGTTTTTTGCGAATTTCAGTCGATACAAAATGGCTTCGAGGAAATGGCTGTGCACGACCTAATGTAGACGAGGCGTGCAACATATTAAAATATTGGTTGACAGACGTAAAAGAATCAATCAGATTCTGTAACATATTGACCAAGGGCTTGTCCATTCGATAAAAACCTCCATACAAGGACAAATGACGCAGATGAGGAAATAATAGAGCCAGAATTGAATCATCGACTGGTTCAGCGCTTGGTCGTGGGTGTCCAGGATTGGGTTGTGGCTGTTCGAAGTATAAAAATAAACTTCTAAGACGATACGATGCTGTTGAGGAAGAGCAACAACGACCTAATTCCCGCACTACTCTCCATGGAGCGCTCAGACGTTGAAGAAGAACTGCGTTCGCCAGTAAATTTCTTAGTAAATTTGCATAAATTACTATTTGTGTATCATCAATACCAATCATTTGAAGATGGAAAGAACGAAGACGAAGAGAAAGAAAACAAGGATCACGCTACATGAAGTTCTAACGTAGGATAATGGCAAAAAAACAAAAAAAAGTAATTTCTTACTGATATTGCAAATCCAGTTGTTGTCACAGCCCAATGCCACTTTAAGTGATATACACGAGATAGAACTGCTAAACTATGTTTGACATTGTCCGCTGAATGTAAATTGATGCCGTCGTTATCAGTATTTCTACACAACCATACCATATGTTGTACAGTTGCTCGTCGATCATGATTAATAGTACGTGTAACAAATCGATGATTTACCAAGATGCGATCATTTTGTAAATCACATGGGCAGGTATAGACGAGTAACATTGCAGAAGACAAATGTTCTTCAACGATATGACGTACGCACCATCCTCTTGCAAGCCAATCACTAGTGTTAAAAACGAAATCGCCGAACTCGGTCGTTTCGTATTCATGACGTAATGCAATAGGCAAACACAAAGAGAAACGGAAATCATCGAGTGAAAGCCAAAGAGAACTTGAATGTATGGCTTGTCGAAATTCAACGAGCTGATTCAATACTAAAAGAATACATACTGGATTAAATACTACGTAGAAGTAAATAACTGCTTAACTTACATGAAGTCTGTACGTGAATTAATGTTAATGATTTGAGATTGGGCATTTTCAAATGACGAATAATCAACAAGACATTGTCCATTGAAAAATCACTATCATGACCGCCACGCAATGTAAGTGTATGTAAATGAATTACATTCATTGTTACTAAATAGGACTGGCTCAATATGTTCTTAGGTTCATACAAATGTTCTAAATTAGAAACAGTTGAATCGCTACGTTCAAATGTTACAGTTAAATGTTTAAGGCACGGCATTTCATTTGGTTGCAGTAGAAATAATAGTTCCGTGAAGCGTTTAAGAGACAATGTCAAATAGACAGTACGTAAAAAGCAAGACTGTCGTCCACAAACACCATGTAAAACGTACAAGCTTCCTCGACCTGTCTCATTCCAATTTTCCATTCCTAAAGATATTTAAAAACATCCAACTCAATTACAAATAAACTTTTTTCTGTGAATGATATTAAAAAACCTATGGAAAATTTTTCGGATGTCTTTTTTTAGATGTGATGAGAAGCTGAATTCAATGAATAATCTCAATGACAAAATGAATCTATAGTTTTATTTATTACTGTCGTACATACCGTCAGTTACGTGAAAGATCATTGTATGGCAAGAAGCTTGTAAGAAGATGAGTTCATGAAGAACTGTAACATACCAAGAATCGGCATTGTCAAAAATCAATGTCAATTTGTCGAGTTATCCTATGATACTAGTATCAGTACCGCAAGCAAGAATCAAGGCAAGTGGTTTGTAGCAATATTTGTGAAAAAACTGCATATTAGATAGAGTGAGTATTCGTACAGAAGGTAAGAATGAAGGTGTGCTATCAGCCCATTTGGAGAGAATACCATAAGCACAGGTTATGTTGCAAAAGCCGCCCAATACCAATGAACGAATAAAAATACTTAAACAACGTGTACGGAAACCATTGTGATCGTCTAGAAAAGCTCGATAAAGAGAATACGAACAACGGCCATCGTGAAAAGCCAGTGTACGATGATCATTTTTATTTTCAGCAAACAACTTATCTAGATGATTGGAGACACCCATCAATGAGTATCCAATATCGAACAAAGTCAAATAAGTTGAAATTTTAAATAACAGTTCAGGTGGCAATTCATCCAATTTCATGTTTCCTTTTCTTATACGATGCTGGCAAGTGACTGATCTCGCAATATGAAGATATCCAAAAAAGCAAACGGACGACCGATCTATACATTAGACAACGAACCGATAATAATTGGTGGAAATAATGTAAGTGTTTTGTTTTTTTCATATTACCTTGGACAAAAAATATATATGCAAAGAAGAGAAGAGAAAAATAGAACTTTTATTCGTTGAACTCCTCAGTGATTATTTAAACAAATAATCAGTCGCGAAATACTCTATTTTCTAATAGACTTTGATAAACGATTCAGCAGAATTTTATCTGATCAAATGGCTTAATCCAGTAGTGTCGAACTTGAAAGTTGAATTCAACTGAAACTTCAAGTTTCAAGTTTCAAGTCGATTTTTTCAGCCCTTCGCGGCACCCACACCCTTCACCGTAGTTAGTCTCCGTTAAATTTTCATCAAATACGTCGAAACTATGAATATGGCAATGTATTGCCAAAACGTGTTTTAGGAGTAAGTTTCAGAGGGATGGTGTCATGCAGTGAGGAGAACTGAAGTGACAAATGTTGGCAAAAGTGTGAATTTTCCCTGCATCGGTGCGATGCGGAGAATGGCAAGAGTTCAATTGTTAAAGCTGAAATTGATTTAGGGTATGGATCTTAGTGGTAAATTCTGTAGAAAATTTCAATTGGATTGAATGAATACTTCTTGAGATATTGCGTAACCAAAACCGCATTTCGAGAAGTTGAAAGTTGAAACTTGAGGGTTGAAGTTTCAGTTGAATTCAAGTTTCAAGTTAGACATGTATGGCTTAATCTTGAATCATCAACTATGGAAGATACCTTTCTTGTTGCAAATTATCCAAATTCGTCTTTAGTAAGAATTCATTTAGAAGTTTACATAAATTGTTGTAACCTTATCTTATCAAAAACGTGAAAAATAAGATTGATGCAAAGAAGATGCATTTCAGGAATCTTCAAGAAGTTACATTCTAGCTACGAAATACAAGTTGATCACTAAAGCGTTCGTGAATGTATTATGTTCGTTAATTAAGTTTTGTTGCACTTCCATCGCCATGCCAATATTCATATGCTCCTAATTTTGTAACAACTGCTTGAATCAGTTTTTCATGAGACGCATATAATCTATGATCACAATCAAGACGAACCCATTTTACTTTTGCTGCATCATCCCCTAGAAAATTTCAATAAGTATACACCATTGATTTAAAAGAAAATATATTATTTTTAAACAGAAATATTCTTTCAAATCAGATGCCTGTATGAAAAAGTTCTATTTAAAAATCAATAATCGACAAGTGACAGAATTTTGAATAATCAAAGATTTCGTATGAAAAGTAAAATCTATGGAAAATGAAATATTTACCAGCTTCGAGTTTTAAATATTTTGTTAGCTCTCCAGTCTCATCGTGCATGTTCATAGCTTCGGATTCCATCCAAGCATTATCTGTAAACAAACAAACAATATATTCTATATTTTCTTTCCTACCACAATGAAAATAAAATGCTTACCTGTGTTTCTCGGATCATCGATATAACCTTTATAAACCTATAAAAATAGAAATAAACCGAATTTACAATAATTTCAAATTTCTTTACTGAAGTGGCTGTTTTAAATAACTCATCGATTAACTGAGCACCATCAGCATTAGAATTCATAGCTTCTTCGATAAATTCTCGTTTGATTGCAACGGATACATGCTCACTAAAACAAGAAACTAGTGATTAAATAAATGAATATAATTATAAGCAAAGTCTTTACCCAGCATCAACCATACCACCTGGTAGAGCTGATTCACCAGTATCTTTTCTACGAATAAGAACAATTTCTAGAACTTTTTGTTTATCATTATGCTGATCTTTAGCCCAGCGTGTTACAAGTGGATCACCAGCATGATTGGGCCCCCAACGACCAAGTAAACCACGGCCGGATACTTTAAAAGAAAGCAACATTATTTTACATTTTTCTTCCTTTTCTATACGTACATCCAGTACGGCCTTGAGGATTTTTGGGTCGATTTGTTTCTCCGTCGACTTCGTAGCTACCAGTATAGCTTGTTCGATCAACTTGTCCATCGACTTGATTGAACTTTTTAATTTTTTTTCTTCAAAAAACAAAATAATTTCACTCAGTTAACTTGTTTTTATTTATCTTACGCGTCACAATCATCTGCCCATGGTGGGTTTTTTAAAACAATGGGTGACGTATATTCTGTTGGCTTGTAATCAGACCAATCAACATTCCACGGAACTTTTTCATCGGGTACAGGAAATCTCTAATAAAAACATAAATGAATAATTTGAATAAAGTATTAAACTAAAGCAAATCCTACTTGAGTATTTTGCGTATCAGAATAAGGTGATTTTCGAGCTTTAATATGAATATTTGCCATAATACTTAACAATGAATCAGTATAAAAAAAGTGGTATTGTTCGGATGTCCTCAAAAAAAAAACGATTGCTATACATACTTATAATTTGATGTCAACGTAAAAATGTTTATCTTTCCTAGAAAGCAAAAAATGTATCAATTTATTTTAGAAGAAAAATCCCTGAACAAGTCGACATGTGACCGATTCTCTTTTCTATATGTAGAAACATAAAATAAGGGCGCTAATGGTTTCTTTTTCTTTCTGCCTATGAAATTTGTTTTTATTGTTCTTCAATCCTCCATAAACGTCACTTTTTATTGAGAAATTCATACACATCACTAGGTAGAGCATGCCATATTAAACTAAAAATTTCAATACAAGCCAACCGATAGCATACTTAACTCGATGCACTCGATCTAATTTATTGCTCGATTCAGAAAATAAGTTCCGTAATGAGAGTGGTTCAAAGGATATTTTTCTTGAATTGTTTTCATAGCAACTAACTTGTAATTGTTCGGAAATTTTCAATGAAACTCTTTAAATATTTTTTTTTATAAATAAATACGCAGTCGAATGAATAATATTTCTATATTTTCAAAAAAAACTTGATGTCATTGATTTTCTCTGTATTTCTTCAATATATCTTTCATTTTGTAATTGCCATCATCGAGCTGGAGCTGCTCTCATAAAGTCATGCGTACGTATTTGTGATCAATATCAAATCCACTTTTAAAATTCTCTATATAATGACTACTGTATGTAAATAATGATAAATTTGGAATTTGAATATTGTCGAAGACAATAAAGTAAAATCCTTTCTAAAAAAATTAATTGAATGTTTGAATTTTTTGCTGGTATTCAATCACTAAGGCGCCTCAAACAGACCAAAACATCGTCAGACTTAATTCAGTTTCAATTCAACAGTCGTCCACACCAAGCAATTAGTCCACCAATCAGAGTATGAAGCAGGCCTCTTTCAGGTATGCAAAGTGCATAATAAAAAGTATTAATGCATGAGAGGTGTCGCTAGCGCACGTGTGCGACTAATAATACATATAACCATGAAAAGTATATTGTTCATAATTTAGTGAGATAAAATAAAATTTCTCTAAAAGTAGGTCATTAGATCAAGAATAAGTTACTATACTGGAAAACAAAACAAGAGAGTAATCAAGTATTTGTTTTTTATTAAAGGTATTTCAGGAGTCTATATATGTCGTAGGCCAATCTAAAATACAGGCCAATCTTAAATTGGCCTAGGCCAAACTAAAATTTGAGTTTCGACTAGTTCAATCTAGAATTGAAGTTTGGCCTAGCTTTTTTCTAGGCCAATCTCAAATCTAAGAATGGACTAGTCCAAACTTGAAGCCACCTTAAAATCGTCAGTCCAATCTTAAATTGGCCTGTTTTTTCAGGCCAAACTAAAATTCGCCTAGTCCATACTAAAATATTTTTCTGTTCAGGCCAATCTAGTATTGGCCTAGGCCAACTTAAAATAAACTGGTTAATGAGTTAAACTATACTTCATCTAAATCAATTCAAGATCTACAAGAAAACTGTTGTGATTAGTAAAGCAGTAATGAACAATTTTTTTTAATTTTCCATGTTTTTACAACAACTGGTATTTTTATGACACTTGGTCGAACAAAAAACTTGATTTCTTTTACAAGCACATTGTTTTGTCTTGCATCCGCCTTTGCACGAACAACATATACCATTGACAGCTCCTCTGACATATAATTTCGATGCAGTAATCATTGATATCTCTTGTAAATCTCCCGGTTTTAAATGAGTAAGTTCATGAGGTACAGCAGATAAACCGACCAAAGAAGTAAACGACCACCATTGATTAATGACTCCATAAACACATGCAAGTTTCACCTTTTCTTCTTCTTTTGCAATTATCACGCATGGTAATAGTTTTGGATCAGTATTAGTCCGATCAACTTTATCTATTCGTAATCCCACAAAATCACCAATGTTACACTTGTCATTCAATGATTGTATATGAATCTTGTGTGCAAGTTGTTGTCTAGTTGTTCGTGCAAGATAAACATCGGCTGCTTTTGAACGAATATCGTTATGTGGAAAACCAGGAAGACCTAGATTCTCTATATTAGATTCACAGAATGTATTTTCCTGGATATTTCTATCTTGAGTTAAATCATCTGATTGAACAGAAGAATCTAAACCTCTTTGTTGATCAGCTGGTAAATTGTTTGATGGGCCAGTAACGACAGGAACTAAAAAAAAAAGACTTTTGTTTCTTATGCTTAGACTTATTACTTACTTTCATCTTCTGGAGCATTAAGATCCGATGATTGTTCTAGTTGGTTTCGAATCGATGGTGGTAAATCCTCTTCATCTTCTATGCCTTGATCCGATATTGATTGCCATAGTGTCATATTCAAACGTGGCTTTTGACCAAATACCACTTCGAATGGTGTATGTTTGATACCTTGTGCTAAACTTGTATTCATTGAATAGGTGGCTTGTAAAAGACACGACACCCAATGATTTGTATCACGATCTTGCATAAATTTGCCAAGTATATCACATAAAGTTGAATTACCACGTTCAACTAGGCCTTGCGATTGTGGGTGCCTAGGACGTCCATTCAATATAACTAGCCCTGGCCACATTATTTTCAAGTTCTTGATAACTTGGGCAGTAAATTCTTTCCCGTTATCAGACTGCAAGATATGACTAGGACCGAATTGAAAGAAAAGTTGAATCAAATTTTCGGCAACATAACGAGCTTCCTTGCTTGGTAAGGCGTATGCCCAAGAAAATTTTGTAAAATGATCACGACAGTGTAAAATCCATTTGAATTCACCATCGGGTCGTGTCCGCATGTCGATAAGATCCATCTGAAGTCTTGTCATGAATCCGAGAGATACAATTGCTGTTGGAATGACATGTGATTTTATTGGTCTTCGTACTTGACAAGACACACATGTAGTAAGAAACGTATCAATGATTTTCGATGGGATCCAAATATAATGTTGCATGACTTCATGACGCATCTTGTCTCGACCACCATGACCTGTTTTAACATGAGCCTCTTGTAATATCTAAAGCAGAAATTTTTCAATAACCGTGGTACACGCATGACAACACATACTTGATAATAATTTTCAACTACAGCTATCCGATTCCCGTTTTTCGATGAACATAATAATTCCGTGCCAGCACTACAATCAATTTTAAAATGCTTCCTGCACCATAAATGAAATTGAGCATTAATCCCTGTCGTTTTACCAGATTTTTTCTGTTTTAAGGCATTAATAATGTTGTTGTATAATGGTATTGTTATCATCGCTTTTTCTCTCATGCGTAATGACAATGTATTCTTGTAGTTTTCGACATTTACGTAGAATTTTTCCTTTTGGCATTCAGTGTTTTCACTAATAACAACTTCTGACGAAGTTTCAATAATTTCATCACCATCCATAATAATGGAACTCAATTGTTTCTCCTGTAATTCTTTTTTGTTTTCCATGAATTTCTCTGTCCTTTCACTTTGAACTTCAGCCTATATTTTACTCATAATCCATTATACCTCGTCTGTATCCTCCGAATTTCGTAAAACTATTACAAAATTATATCGACAATGGAGGCTAAAAGTTTCATTGGATAACTTTATTTTAGATTGGCCTGAACAGAAAAATATTTTAGTATGGACTAGGCGAATTTTAGTTTGGCCTGAAAAAACAGGCCAATTTAAGATTGGACTGACGATTTTAAGGTGGCTTCAAGTTTGGACTAGTCCATTCTTAGATTTGAGATTGGCCTAGAAAAAAGCTAGGCCAAACTTCAATTCTAGATTGAACTAGTCGAAACTCAAATTTTAGTTTGGCCTAGGCCAATTTAAGATTGGCCTGTATTTTAGATTGGCCTACGACATATATAAATAGAAAAAGATTCACGTACTAAGTGTATAGCAAAAAAAAGCGTAGAGATGGACGGCGCTACATTTTTATTTCTATTGGAAAAACGAAATCATATCTCATTAGTGCATTAACGCTAAGGCCCCAAACAGACCAAAAAAATAAAACAGAGTTAAGCAACGTGATTGGTTAATTCGCACTTAAGTCATCTTTTTGAGACGATTTAGTGGTTAATTCTGTTTTATCTTTTTGGTCTGTTTGGGGCCTAACTCGTTTCGAAAAGATGAATTCATTTTGTTTTAACTTCTCTAGCGATCTCATTGGTTAATGCTGTTTTAAATTTTTTGGTCTGTTTGGGGCCTAAGTTATTGTTCGTTAGTTTACTTCTTTGCACTTTGATTGCAGGGTGTAACTCGACAAATCATTTCGATTTTTAGATTTCACTCGCACGGTTCTACGATTAGATGTTACTTGATATAAAATATTCAGACAAAAAAAACAACGAAATCTGCATTATTAGAATAAATATGAATAGCCGAATTCTATTTTCTTTCTATTGAAAAAGCTTGAACTCGAGATTGATACAAGTCTAGAAGAGTTTTTATGAATATGTCAAAATCTTCTCGAGTACTTCGATGACTAACGATACACACGCGTATATAGAATCGATTTTGGATAACCGTCGAAGATGGAAATGCAATTCCCGACGCATGAATATCGGCGAGAAGCTGATTGTTGAACATATCATTCAATTCATTATCGGTCTTATTGAATTCGTTGGGTTCAAACCGAATGTTAACAATGTTCAATGAAACAGGACGAATAATGTGAATAACGTGCTCGTGTTTTTCTAATAACGATAGTAAATATTGAGCTTGTTCACAGTTGTCGGCAATTTTTTGACCTAATTTCACAATGCCATGTTCTTTCACTGTAAACCAGACCTTCAATGCCCGAAATGAACGTGGAATTTCAAGACCCAAATTGAAAAACCAATGTCTGTTATCTCCAGAGTATTGATCAGGTTTACTCAGATATGGTGGAGTCGTAGAGAAAGTCGATTCGAGACAGGTATAATCACGAACCAGCACACAGCCAGCATCATACGGACAATGTAACCATTTATGAAAGTCAAATGCCAACGAATCTGCTTGATCAATACCGGGAACAAGATGACAACGTTGAGGATCAAGTATAGCAAAACTACCAAATGCTCCGTCAACATGAAACCAAATATTTTCAGCACGTGCAATCAAAGAAATTTCTTCAAGATTGTCGAAAGCGCCTGTATTCACCGTACCTATTAAATACATAGACATATGTAGTAACAATTTTTGTTTCTCTTCGAAATGGAATTCATTGTAAAAAATAAGTATTTTTCTACAAACTTCGGCCTAAAATTTTTTGCCATGATATTTACCTGCATTGCCAATTATACAAAAAGAAACAAAGCCTCTATCTCGATCACTTTGTATAGCTGTTTTTAAGTGATCGATCTTGATTCGAAAACTATCATCGGCTGGTATGAGATGCATTGATTTTGATCCAATACCTAACAATTCCAATGCTTTTTTTACACATATTTGTACTTCTGTTGAGGCATAGACAATTAATTTTGGCCTCTCTGTAAGTCCATATTCTCTGACATTAGCTAGTGCTCGCTGGCGAGCTGTTGCCATGCTAATCACTGTAGCAATCGATGTTTCACTGACAAGTAGACCCCCGCTAGTGCCTTTCGGAAAGCCAAATATTTGGCGCATCCATTCAATGACAGTTCTCTCAACGAATGCAGCGCTATTAGTATAAGCACAAGTATTCATGTTCATCGTTGCTGCTATCATATCGGCAAGAACTCCACCTAGCGTTCCTTCGCCACTAACCCATCCCCAAAATCGAGGATGTACGTTGCCTCTACCATAGGGTAGAACATAACTTAATACATCGTTACAAACAGCAGATAGCGATTGTCCGTTTTCAGGAAGACTTTCATCTTCAATTGCTGCACGAACATCATTTGGCATTGATGGCCATACAGGACGGTCTCGTACATGTTGAATATAGTTCATACATGAATTGAGCATTTGATGCTCTACAAATCGAGCAGATGACCAATCGACTGGATCAAGCGATGAATCATGTTGATTCATTGGCACGGTGGAAGACAATTTCTGTTCACCTATTTCATTAATCAAATAGAACATTTGTTTCTTCCATTGATTGAGTGATTCAATATCGCACACATGTTCCTGTAATGTCATCAAAGCCTGTGCAGTTAACTCTTCTAACTTCTTGTTCGCCATCTGAAATATTAATATGTTCCGCGTTAGTTTGACAAAAAAGTTGCGCACATATTTTTTTTGTTTCCATTATGGAGGCTATTAGATAACAGGTGTGATAAGAATGCTAGCAGATTTATTCTTTATATTGCTTCTTGATGCACACTGATATGTCGATTGTAGAATCAGCTGTACCAACCACAATTTAATCCCTTCAGAAACTTGAGATTTTTTCATATCTTTACCTTTTTAAGGAACATTCATGCACTGATGATACAGTGTTTTTTCATATGAAAAAGTTACCTTGACGAAATATAGGAGACATCTATCTCGCATATCATTTTGCAATAAATCTAGCTAGACCATTGAGAACGAACATCATAAACGGAGCATAAAAAGCAGTATATGTAGAAACTTCTCCTCCGTCTATTCCATATAACATTAACGAATATCTAATTATTGTTACAAAGACTATTGAATCAGTGTCTACGAAAAGTGTATCTTCAAATATCGTGTTCGAAACTTCGGTTCGGGAATAACGAATATTTGAATTATGCAGATCGACCAATTGTTTTATCATAAAATTGACCCCATCTACATTCACCACTAACAGTAAGAAAACTTAATTTCGCGAGATCGATGGTATTAAAGAAAGAAATTCATCGTTCGTTTCATCATAATAATATTATTGCAGCGATACAACTGGCGGTTGAACGCACGTCCATTATTTGACCATCAGCTTCGTCTAAATACATATTAGATAAAAAAATCTAATCAAATCAAATTAATTATTTGAATTTCGATAGTCATTTCTAAATATTATTTACAAATGATATTAATTGAATGAATGAAAAAAATACTTTCAAAGCTTCCAAAATTCATTTTTATAGAAAACAAATTTTTCAGTTATAAAATGTTCAAAAATGGTATATATTATCATAAAAGTATTTGCAAATATTTTTAAATCAATCGATTACACTAGAGAGTAATGATCCATTCCAGACAACCATTTCCACGATGTATTATTTTATGAATTTTGAAAAAGAAACAAAAACAAAATGTCATATAATTACACTCGCTTGCTTTTAAAAACCTATCCTAGCTGAAGGGACATTCAAACCGAGGATATGAATATGGCGTGTTAATAAAGCGAAGATCTATACACGCACTCTAATTTTGAAATGAGTTTTTACCTAATAGTTTTTTGTTTCGTAGTTTAAAATCATTTTTACATGTGTTATTTCTGAATGAAGTAAATTCTAGAAGGTAACGAGACAACTCAATTTCTTCATGATTACCTCAAAGTGCGTTACAACTGCAAGCTTAAACTCTTTCGATTTTAATTCAGCCACGCCTTGGTGGGTGTCGAGAAAATAATGAGTAGGGCGAAAGTTTTGCATTAGTTTTCGTTTTTGATATAACTCTGTGTTAGAATAAAAAGTACTGAAAAACAAATCCGCAACTTTGATCACATGTTTTTATCCAGAAATATTTGTTTGAGCTTTTTCATTGCCCACTTTCGGCGTGTTCAAATTTCTCTTTATATGAATTTTTCACAGCTTTTCTTGCTTGATCTGATAAGAGCTGTTTCAAAATATAATTAGATTCAATAAAGATGAAGTTTATGATAATCAAGATAGAAAAACAAAAGTGGACTATACAATTCGTATATACACTATATAAAACTTTATTTAGGATGAAAAGTGGAACAAACTGGTGAAAGCGACAGCTCTGTTTTGTCTATACTAACATCCGCATTTACTAGATCGAAAATGTACGCGTTAATCCGTCTCTAGTGTATCTGATTTTTTTATTATTTGATACCGGAAACAAGTATAAAAGATTCAGATAAGGACTGTAAGAGGTATAAAAGAGGCAGTATACCTAAGAAACAGCACGCAAATGCATTTTTTTATAGCTATGCAAGAACATCGTAAATCATATTCAATCAAACTCACGAGAGCATCTATAAATATGCAATAGTATTGAATAGGCGTGCCAATAACACTTCCAGTGTAACAGAAACAGAAAGATTCTACATTTTACTATCATTGTGATCATTCTTTAGTCTTTAAATTCATCACATTATGGGATCTTGTTGTAAAAAGCAGCAAGCGTTCATATCAGAAGCTGAACAACAATACCTCGTTACAACGACTGAAATGAAATCATTCCGAACTACTATCGATACTCCGGTTCATTCATCAGAACGTCTTCATCATCCAAATGTTGAAAATTTTCTTCTCATTTGGTTAGATGCGTCATTGGACATAAAAAGTGATAGCGGAGATAAATCCAAAGAGGAATTGCAGCGTCTTGTTAATAATATCGAAATGTTTTCTGATTCTCGTCTGTGTATTGACTTCAATAAAGACAGTCAAAGACGAACAAATCATTTTAATAATCTCTGGCTCATTAGGTGAGCGATTAATTCCGGACATTCATTCCATGCATATGATTCATATCATTTATATTTTCTATTTGAATAAGGCAAATTATCAACCACTAATGAAAATTTATTCAAAAGTAAAGGGAATTTTTACTCAAGTGAAAACTTTGTGCGAACAACTGAAAAAGAATATAAACGAAGCAGAACACGATCTTATCTCGATGGAGTTTATAGATCCGAAATCAAATGGCAACAATAAACAAGAAGCCATATTCATGCACGCACAGTTATTTAAAGATATCTTGCTCGACTCATCAGATAGTGAGGACATCATAGCTTTCAAAACTATGGTCGCATTCTGCCGACAACAATATCAACCTCATCTTAATGAACTAGAATTAATCAATGAATTTGAAAGTAACTATCATCCATCGAAAGCAGTTTAGTGGTACACACGAGAATGTTTTCTATATAAAATGCTCAACAAAGCGCTTCGTGTTCAAACTCATACCATAATTTACACATTTCGTTCATTCATTCTTGACTTGCACACACAACTCAACCAGCTTGCTGCCAGCCGTAAAGAAACGAGGATTCTCACGTTATATCGTGGTCAAAGTCTGTCGAATACGGATTTAACACAATTAGAGAGAAATCGTGACGGACTTCTTTCCTTCAATAATTTTCTTTCTACAAGTACGAGCAAAGATGTTGCTCTTAATTTTGCTTGCCAATCTAAAGGTAAACAAAATATGATCGGGGTCCTCTTTCAAATAAGTGTTAGTTCAACAGTAGAATCAAACACGAAACATGCAAATATTCAAATGCTAAGCTACTTTGGTAAAAACAGAAGAAGAATACTTGTTTGGTATGGGAGCAATTTTTCGGGTTGAACAAATTTAACCTTTCGAAGGACTCGTATGCGTTCGTCTTACTTTGACGAATACGAGTGGCCTACAGTTGAATCTATTGGCGAAGTTTTGAAGAAACTTATTATTACCAGAAGAAATGAAAATAGTAATTAAGTCAGAACGTCCCTTTTCTCTTGCTATGATACTAGCTGCACTTATGTTCGGCATGAATGATCCCAAGAGTGCTTCTATTTTTCAAAGCATAGCATTGATGTATAAAGAAGAAAAACCATTCGACATTATGGAATGTGTCGGCTATCTTTCCGGTCAAATAGTACCGGGAGAAGTAAACAGACTTGATAAACTTCAGGAGAAACAATTAATACAAGAACAAAATAGTAATCCTAATGTATCGAAAACTTATGAAAGAATTGGTGATCTTTACAAAAACCAAAAACAATTTGGTCTTGCATTGGAGTGTTATCGACGAATAGTCACCGGTGGCTTATCCAATGCTCCTTCAAACCGTGAGCAATTGCCTTCAATTTACTATGAAATAGCTAATATTTATCAAGCTCAAGGCATCATACAACTTGCACTTGAGCATTTGAATTTAGCTATTAACAGTGCAATACATACTGAAAGACCTGATTTGGAATTCATTTCAGCCATGATGATACAGAGAGGTGATATTTTTGCAGATAAAAAACAGTTTAACGAAGCACTACTCCCCTATCATTATACATTGGAATGTCAACTGAAACATCTTCCACCGATCCATCCTATCATCGCTACGACCCATGTTAAGACTGCATCAATGCACTTTCAACAAGGGAAATACGAGGAAGCACTCCACGCTAACCTTCAAGCAATTGAAATTGCAAATTCTTCTTTACCATCAGTACATGAGGAGATCCTTAGAGATTCAGACAATATTATTTGGAAGCGATGATGCTATGGTCAAGCAATTGAGCGCACAGTTGGAAACAGTTCGTACAAGAATAGAGAACCACAGAGGCAAATCATCAGTTAAATAAACAGTTTCTAATAATTCCAAGCGTTAGATCAAGACTAATGTTATGAGACCAAATAAAAAGTGAAAATTAAATTTTATTGCTTTAGGATATGGGTGTGGAATGTGGAAGTTGGTATTTGAATGTTTCATTGACGTTCATAATTGTGACGAAGTGGGTGTCAGTGTGGGTGAACAAAGACCTATACACATACCCATACCCATACGACAGTGACGGAATTGAATTAAGTATCGGCATTGATCTCAACATTCTGCGATATGACTCATGACTCAATAAAATATTCTTTTTAACATTACTCGTTCTTTTGCGTTGAATGCAAAATTCCATGTGATAAAATACTAAGAACGAACAAATTTAGTTTTTTTGCTTCTGAAGCTCACTGTCGTTAGCATAATTTTACTTTCTTTTTCCATCTATAGGTAAAAAGAAATTACATCGTTTGAATATTTTATTTTCAATTGAAATATTGAAACAGTAAGTAGACGAGACTTCTGAGAGAAACAAAAAAAACTTTCGAATTTCGTTATTCAGCTAGTATATACATGGCATCATGTAAAATCAAACAATTTTGTATAAAATGCAATAGAAGTGAAGAAATTACCACATGTATGGAATGTCAACAGTGGTTTTGTATACAACACTTCGATGAACATCGACAAGAACTTGTCGCAAAAATGGATAATATTGAGCAAGAACATGATGTAGTTCAGCCAAATGTAACCGAAGGCAATATTTCATATCCATTTGCACCTGGAATTATCACGCAAACTTTTTTATGGGTTGAAGAGGCAGAAAAATATTCATTCCTTCTTGACTTGCTCAAAAATCAGGCTGATAAGAACGAAAGTCAGTAAGAAACAATGCTTCATGTTTCTTCTTGTTAATATTGAGATCCCAATGCATCGACATTAATACTTGTCGGAGGAAAACGTACTGTGGAGATCCTCCATGTTTTTCTTGAAAATCATCAACATGCTGTGACCAGTCTTCACGGTGGTCGAATGCTGGCTCAACGTGAAGAAGCAGTTAAATCATTCAGAACTGGTCTAACGCCGATTCTTATAGGAACTGTTATTGCTGTGCGAGGTGTCTACATTCGGTAAGTATTTGATTTGGTCGAAAATTCCTTCTCTATCTATCTAGGGATTCTAGGAATTTTAAACAGATTATCAACTTCGATTTTCCACGGAGTATAGATGTTTACGTGGATTGTATCGGACGAACAGGTCGTGACGGCACGATTGGTAAGAGAAACTAGGTTTGGTAACAGTATCATTCTTTTTGTGTCTAGGTCATGCAATTTCATTCTTTAGCGATGAAAATCGAAACCTTACCAATGATTTACGGGACTATTTAAGAGAATCACATCAAGAAGTACCTGAATGGCTCGAACATTTGGTACAAGAAACAAAACAATACAGTAACCACAGACATCTGTATGGTGGTGACCGAGTGAGCAGTTCAAATAGTCATTTGCGTGTACCCAAGAATGACCATCATCCGCTCAATAATGGTGGTTACGATTATGATGTTCAGCAAGACGACAGCAATCACCAGCAAAAAAGTGATATTTGGTGGGATATCATTTCTTGAAAGCAAATCAACTTATCTCTTAAATAAAAGACACGTTCAATCTGTTATTCTCAACTATCTGGGTGTGGTCAAGAAGTCGACTAGGATTTGAGCCTGTAGAGTTCAAAGATTTCGAAATCGCTATTTGAATTATCAAATTTGTTTTATGCGGAGCCGCTATGGCTGAATGGTTAAGATGTTCGGCACATATCTACAAGATAGTGTGTTCAAACCTCGGCGCCATCATCCATAGAATAACCGTGGACAAGTTACTAACGGCTGTTTTGTCTCGGA